TAGAGAAATAGAGTTTACCAGAAAACTGGGTTAAATCTTAAGTAAAAAAATTGGCCAAGTGCGTGTCGTGCCACGCGCAGTATAGGGTTCCGTAGTTGTCCGTCGTTATCACAATATATTTCAGAAGTAAGCAATTACTTCATCTAAAGTCACTTTTAATATTTTCTTCTAAGGAATTTTTATTAGGTATGAAATTTTATAATACATGAGTAAAATTACTCTTGAACTAACTGATCTATCTTAACCGCTATAGTTTTCCTTGAAAGTTCATAAAAAGCATTATAATCTTGAATTTTTCCAGATTTATCAAGCCAACAGTTTCGTTTTTAGTGGGGGGACGCCCTACTCGGACAAAAATTGGCACTTTAAACTTTAACATATTGCAAACGGATCCCTAAATCGAAAAATGGTCTTAGAAACCCCCAAGCCATTTTAAAAGACCTATCCAACGATACCCCACACGATGGGGTAGAAGACGAAAAAAAAAAACATCCCCACTTTACATGTAGGGGAGCTACCCTAAAAAAATTTTTTTTTTTAATTTTTTTCTACCGTTTTGTCGGCGTGATTAATATACACCCTCCTCAAACCTTTGGGGGCTCCACACCTCTACAAAATTACAGCTCCCTAGTGCCAATAGTTTCCAAGCAAAACCTCGGACAGACAGACAGCCAGACATATCGAAACTATATTAAGGGTTCCTTGTCAGGACTAAAAAATGATATTTGTATGATGATAATGTCATTTTATTCTATACAGTCTAAACAAATAAAACTAAAAATGCTTCCGTCTGCATGTGTGAATACTAAAATGCAGAATAAATGACGAAATTAAGAAAATTATAAAACAAGTTCTTTTTTTTTCAAAATCGATTTTGCTAGATTAGTGATTTTGTAGAAAGGAACAATTAGACTAGGTACTTCTGTAAAAAAACAATGTGACCCTAGTACTAACCGCTGTCACTACACGTGTTTTTCTGGATCTATTCGTAATAAGTGGGCTTAGTGCGACTTTACACAATCGTCATCCGCTAGCGACTGCGTAAAAAATGACATACATTAAATGTATGATGATTGTACAGCGTCCCTAGCAGATACTTTCAAGAACTAAAATCTTTAACTTTATAGATCTTTTTGATGCACTCGTTAGCGACAACGTTAAAGCACACAAAAAAAATGTTTCTCAGTTATATTACTTCAAAACTATTAAATTTCGGATTTTTTTTAATATCACGTGAGATTTGGGGGTGGGGGAGGGGGTCAGGCAAAATCTCACCAAATCTCACCAAGGGGGGCGAGGGGGTTGAAAAATAGCCAAAATTGTCTCACGTAATTTATGGACGCCCCCTTATGCATGAACACGCACTTCTAAATGAGTGTTGGAATAGTTGACAGTTACAAATATATACAATGAGATTGTAGCTTGTTTTAGGTACTTTTTGCTCTCTCTATTTTCTTTTTTTGAACTCAAATAACGCAAATCTGTATTTCATAATGAAGTTAACAAGTTGCGTTAATCGTAACAATAGGTTACAGTTATGGACTGGCGTAATCTGTACTTAAGTGCCGTTATTCATAGCCGTTATAATCTCAGTTATGATTTACAATGCTATAAATGTATTGTTATAAACCTTTAGCTAAAATGAAATGCTATAAGATCTACTACGTGTTTGTAATACTAGCGATTTGCCAACGGCATCTCACGCACTTATTTTGGCTAACGGAAATACTGAATGATGCTTTACAAAAAACCGTAACTGTGATTGAACCAGTTGTAAATAACGAGTAGGTATTTACTTTTTATATCCGTAAAAATGTTGGGATCTTGTCGCGCGTAACAATAAATGGAAAAAAGAATAAAAGAAAACAAATGAGCATACATTCACACATCAATAAGCCATGCCTAGTAGCTCTAGATACGTCTACACGCCCGTATTCACAAACGATGCTTGCCTAAGTGAAGCAGCAAATCGAACGCACAGCGTTGAATAGAGTTCTGCGATTGGTTCATGTGTGACCCTGTGAGTCCACGGGCACTGTGAGACCTCATAGTTTGTGAATACGAGCGTTACCCTTGTACCTTGTAACCCTTTCTGTTATTACACTGCACAACAAAATTGCAACTTTTGGCTGATGATTGACTTTCATTACGTGATGTTTACTAATTTGACGTCGCTGATTCTGAATCTGCCGTCCGTTTTTTCGTAGCAGCTCTTGTTTACGTGTTATAGCTTTCACTCAAAAATTGCTAAATTTCAGTCTTAATTCGCCGACAGTTCAAAAAGTACTATGTTTTCTTTGTATAATTTAATATGGTAGTATTAAGAAGTGTTTGTGTGAATTATCTAAATCAATTTTGTTTCATTTGCGAAGATGATATGTTTAAATAATCCGTTTAAATGTGACATAGTTCGTAAAATTGGCTTAAAAAAATTAGTTTGGGGTCCCAGTGGAAATGAAANGTGTGACCATTATATGTAGTTGTTTTTTCAGACAGCACCAGCTTCTGCACTACTTCTTGCACTAACATCTCACCTTTTTCAGGCAAGCTTCGGCAGCTACGGGTAGAGATGGGTTTCCACCCGGGTAAAAACCCACATGAGGGTAAAAACCCAATAAAAACCCGTTTCATTCCACCCGTGGGTGTTTACACCGGGTGAAAACAAATAACTTTATAATTATTTCAATTGGTATCTTTTCTTTATTTTTATTGAATTTTTCTCATTTAAGTTTATTGATTAATAAGTTATAAGTCAAATTTAACACTAATATGCATTTATATCGTGGCAAAATCGTAAAATTGATCACGTTATGATGATGTGACCAATTATATAAAATGGTGTTATTTCAAGAATCGTTGAACCGATTTAGAAGAAATTTAGTAGGAACACAATAATTTGTGATCATGGCGAGGACATGGAGGGGGGGGAGGGGGGGATTGCCAAAGATGCCAAACTCTCTCTTTGATGACATTACGGTATAAAGTTACAAATAACAACACCAACTACAAAGTACTTCTGCTTAAACATTTGAAATCGAACCGCCCGTCCGCCACTGTAACGCATTGTAACGTTTTTCAAGACCTCCTCTCCCCCCAGATTGCATTACGTAACACTAGAACACCCCCTTAGCAACAAATACCACTTCTTACTTAAAAAAAAACGCTATTTTTGTTTTCACCCACCAGAATGGGTGATAATGGGTAAAAACCGGGTTTTTACCCAAATCACCCAGTTTTAACCCAATCGGGTGAAATGGGTTTTTACCCACTACCCATCTCTAGCTACGGGTAATTGGTCCATGTAGGCTCCATGTTGCTATCGATTCTGGTCCATCCCCAACCAGTCAGGTAAAGGGAAGCCTAAGTCGGTTGCTTGCAACTGACCCTATACGCGAACCCCTTGAACCAACTAAATTTTAAATAACTTAAAAAAATCACAAGGACATAATTACTGCTCTTGATATACTGATATAAAACTGCCTAGGTTGGTGGGCACTTACAGCACTCGTTCATAGTCATGCATGTAGTAATAGTAGGAGGTACTTGATCTAAAACAATACCAGTGGACTGAAAAAAACAGTGGATAGAGCTAATAAGTGGATAGATATTGAACAAGGGACAACTAGAAAAGAGGACCAAAATCCCAACAGAACAGCCTAATCTGTTTTACTGACAGCTCCAAGCCAAGATAGCCTGGCCTTGGGAACGGGACCAGGATGATGTGCCAGAAACTCTAAATAAATTCTAAAATAATAATCTTTACTTGCTTATGAACCAAATAGTATGAATTCTTGGATAAAATAAATATTTTTTTCCGAAGCGCATCAAAATTCGCCCGCTTTGTCCTGAAGAAAAAATTTTTTCACCTACTTTTTTTGAAAAAAGTACCATACAATGGTATATATTTATAATCCTGATAAATGTAGCTTTCAGGACATATTTTTTTTATTAGATTATCTCCAATGGTTTAAAAGTAAACGACGTTTATTTAAAAAAATACTTTTTGGTTTTTGTGAATTTTACTCAATATTTCTATTTTTTTGTATGAAAAGGCAAAAAGTTTGTTCTAGAAATGAATTTGCCATCCTTTAATTATCCGAAAATGACACCACGCTTGCCCTAATACCCATAGTTTTAAAGATATGGGCCTTAAAGTGAAGCGCGGCAGAAGGAAACTTGCCCCCCCTCCCCCTGCTACCACAGGGGGGGCTCCCGATGTCTACCGACGGAAATCTACTCAAGAGCACCCAAAGAACGACTGGTGCAAAAATGAGCCTTCTATACCAAAGTGGAGGGGTTCTTGCACTAAATTCCCTACTATCAAGCTTCTTTTTGTAATCAGGCCTTAGTCGTCATGCCAGGTCTTCATACATATTATAATACAAAGGTATTTCATACATTGGGTCAAACTCGATGGGTGTCTTGGTGACTCTGATCCATTCATAAATATGGTTTCGATGGTTTTCATTGCTTTTACATTATGATATCTTTTTATTCATACAAGTGAGGGAACTTGAACCAAGTTTATTTTTATTTACATTAATTTCAGTTATCTTTCAATATGAATGTTAAGTGTTTTGTGTTTGTTTTAATTGCTTATGTGTTCTGATAAAATTCGAAAATATAATGTTATACATAGACCGGTACATTTCCAGAGATTGCTAAGAATCTAGATTTCATGATTGCTTTGATTTATACACCTGAAAATGTTATCTTTCATAATTGTATTTTAAGAGTAATAATTTCAAGTTCAGTTAGTTTAATCATAAGTTTTTATTCATTGTTTAATACAAGTAACTTTAATTCTAGTGCGTGTTGCATTTCGCGCGCGAGACTAGCATGAAACAGCATAGTTTAGTACCTACCTACACAATCATGTAGTATTATTTGCCTTGCCACGATCGACTGGACTAATAGTCGCGATCGACCGTGCTATAAAGCTATCTCTTCCAAACAACCTAGGTACCTAGCCAGAGGATAATTTAATTTAATTTTCATAGGGCAAGCCGATCTTCGGATCCAAGGAGGCTCAGCCACCAGCATCGCTACCTATCCCTACACGGCAGCTTTATTACTCCGGTCGCCCACTGCTGCCAACTTTAGACTGACTTGCGCAGGAGTGATTGTCAATACGAGATCCATTTTGACGGCTGCGAGCTGTGTTGCGTGAGTTTTTTCTGACAATACCCTTTTATAATACGGAGGTACCTATGTAGGGGTAAGTAATAATTAAGTTATTTCGAACGGTTTGTCCAATACATTTATTTATGAATTTGGTTTTATTCAATGCAGGATTAAATGCCCTTCAAACATTATGAAGATCACTTTTCGATAGGGTAAGTCCTTTACGCGGTAAAAAAGGAAAAACGTTCCTTTTTTCTTGTACCTTCTAAAACTTTAGGTACCTACCTAACTACCTACTTCATTATCCCAAAACTCATGAAACTTTTCCATGGCTTGTTCGATAGGTCCATCTATAAGTAGGTAATAGGTACCTCCGTCGTCAGTGTGACGTCACAAAATGACGTGCTAATTTTGGGACATCCTGTAGGATAGTGTGCGAGCATCGAACCCGCGACCTCGGGCATGGTAGTCCAGCCAACTGACACTTAAGTAGCTACTTATGTTGGTAGTTTTTTTATGTGAGGCAAACGAGCAGACTTATCACCTGATGGTAAGTGATTACTGATTACCGTCGCCCATAGACACCCGCAGTCTCATGGGCGTTACAGGTGCGTTGCCGGCCTTTAAGGTGAAGATACGCTCTCTTCTTGAAAGCTTGCAGGTCGTATCCGTCCGGAAATACCGCAGACGACAGTCCATTCCACAAGTGTGATAGCAAAGTGCTAAATGGGTGCTGTTACATCTAGGTTTGATTAGTAACACATCATCATCATTTCACTTCAGCCATAGGACGTCCACTGCTGAACATAGGCCTCCCCCAATGATTTCTATAATGATCGGTTGGTAGCGCCTTTCTCTACCTTTATGGCTGGTTTTAGTGTCACGCGGATTGTCAGTGAGGATCGCTCCGCACAGCCGATCTGTATGAACTGCTAGGGAGCGAGCGGTTCCTCCGGACCGCATTACTCTAAAACGCTCCCTAGAAGTTCATACAGATTGGCCGTGCGGAGCGGGTCCGCACCGGACGGTCCGCGTGACTCTAAAACCAGCCTACGATGTCGTCGGTCCACCTTGACCCACAAGGTGGACGTCCTACGCTGCGTTTTCTGGGACGTTGTAGGTATTAACAGAGCGTCTTCTTTCTACAGTGGCGATAGCACCTCAAGATGGCGGGTGCGGGTCGGGTCGAGTTCCTCAATCTCCGGCGGTCGTCTCCTGACCATCAACCTCATCAGGGTTCACAGCAGCTACAGAGCTGCTACCAGAGACTTTGATATAGCGATGTTGAGGACTACCACCTCTTTTGTGCAGACCCATCTGATACGCGCTGCGAGATTCGCTTCAAGCGGTTATACTTTGGTGGCGCCACAAACTGTGACTGCTGTGGGGTGGGGGGCAACAGTGGTAAGTTCAATCAAGTATAGTCCGGTCGCCGAGCACGTAGAATTTCGTCCAATGACCCCAAGCTACCCATCCTTATCGCTCGCGCGTAATTATATTGCTGTCGCGACTGTGCGACACGGGCGGCCGCAGTGATTGTGCGAGCGCGACAGCAACATAATTACGCGCCAGCGATAAGGATGGGTAGCTTGGGGTCATTGGACGAAATACTACGTGCTCGGCGACCGGATTATAGTACACAAACTAAATGAGCTGATGATGATTGTAATTTATTTCATAGAGCTACCCAGCCGACCTAATGATGGTATTGGTCCTTTTCAGGGCACATTACTATCTAGGATTATATGTAGGTTTATAAATCTAGATATTTATAAGACTACACTATTGCCTAACTACCTACCTAATAATTTTCCCTATATTCCAGTCTGGAGGAGCTCCAGTGTCAACAATCCGCCACGTTCGCCTGAACATCATCAATCAGACCACCTGCGCTAACAACTACCGCGGCCGAGGGATCACTGTCACTGGTAAGAGAGATTCTTGGACATACTAAACAGGGTGTTGATTTCAATCCTCGCCATATTTATTTAGGTGATCTATTATGACTTACATATAAACGCATTATCCACCAAAAAAAAAATAATTAAAAACGAAAGTGGTATTTTTAGCGAATATTTTCTGTGCGAAACCAGCTGTCGGTGGCTGGCAATTACTGATTCGTGATAACTACCTAAATATGGCGAGGATTGAAATCAACACCCTGTATGTCACTGATAGAGATTTCTAAAATATTACTCTATACAGGGTGCGTTGGCGTTGATACAGGGCCTTCGTCGTCGTGGTATAGGGCACATCTATTTATGGGACACTACGCCACGACTACGCGCCGTTTAATGAGACTTGCCCGCGTGAATTTCAGTTTTTCAGTTTGTCCTTTCGAACTAAGCGTCACAGACGCAGCGTTTTTAGCTTTGGTCTTGTGCCACCAACCACCAAAAGTTAAAGACGCTGCGTCTGTGACGGTGTTCGAAAGGCTACCTTCAAAGTTTTTATCGCTCTTTGTCCCTTTCCCTGCACCACGCTTCTTAATCGCCAGTTTTATTTTATTTCAGCAAACATGGTATGCGCGGGCTGGATCGGCGGCCGAGGACAGTGTACCGGCGACACCGGAGGGCCCCTGGTCCACAATGGAGTGGTGGTCGGTATATTCTCACGAAGCATCGGCTGTGGACAGGCCAACCTGCCTGGCATTAACACTAGAATCAGCCGGTTCGCTGGGTGGATCACTATGAATAGATTTTAGGGCGGTGTGTTGATGAAAATGGAGTCTGCACGCATAGCAGAAGTTCTGCGCATAGGTGGAACATGTTCAAAGAGACGGAGGTTGTGGATTTTTAGTGGGTAGGCCCTCCCTTCTGGAGGAGAGAGCCTCATATAAACCCGCCGGCTGATCACAGTGGCGGGTAAATACGCAATGCAACTCAATGCGTTTATAAATACGCTTACGTCCGTATCAAGCTTCCACTGCTGGACAAAGCCTTGAGGCTGGTTTTAGTGTCACGCGGACTGTCAGTGCGGATCGCTCCGCACAGCCGATTTGTATGAACTGCTAGGGAGCGGAGCGGTTCCTCCGGACCGCATTACTCTAAAACGCTCCCTAGAAGTTCATACAGATTGGCCGTGCGGAGCGGGTCCGCGTGACACTAAAACCAGCCTGACTAAGGCCTCCCACGGATTTCCACCGAGTGGGAGCCCTACCTACACTACGTCTTCCAGTCTAGTCCGTAAGTCTATAATTTGGATTTTGATAAAAACTAGTAGTGTAAAATCGGTGGTAGACCACCAACATTTAGTTGCCCGATAGTTGGGCCCGATTCTAATTTGTATGAAGCAGCGGCCGATACCAAAATCGGTGTAATGTGCGCACTTTCATACATCTCCATACTGATTAACAGCCCGACCCGACTATCGGCCAACTAAAAATCGGTGGTCTGCGCCTAGGCTAAAACTAACGACTGCGCGGCTTTAGCGAGTTTTGGAGCATGTTTATAATTACCGTACCCTACAGGGCCTGTAATGTTTTAGTGCGTTTTAGCTTATAAGTTCATAATATGAGCAATAAATTATTGAGCATTGAGTATATTAAGTTGACTCAATGAGTGTAGGGAACAGCTCTATATTCACTCATTGACTGGCTGTTGTTGATTCTAGTAAATAAATCATGTACTATTAAATAAAAAATTAGTAAATGTAAATAAATAAACCGACATTGTAAATACAATAACTTTTATAAGCAAAAAATAAATTACAAACAAGTTTTTAATCACTATCACTCGTAGACTCATTTAGATCTACTTCCCCCATTAATTCCTTTAGTAACGATTCACACGGCCTTTTGAACGGAGATCGATGGGTTTCTACCATCTTTCTGATACTTTCTCCACTTGTAGTAATTTTCAAAAGCTTCTGTGTTTGCAAAAATGTTAGTAACAATCTCCCAAAATGTCTGTCTGAAACACAAGACTGTGAATGTTGTATTAGTAAAGATTGAACGTAAATCTGTATTCGTTCAGACTTTTTGCAATCTTTATAAGCGTTGTAGATCGATAAAATATTATTGGAAAACTGCTCTGAAGTCAAATCGAATTCTGACAGATCTACAATGAAATTAGAACGATCTACTTCGTTATATGACTGTATCAAATCTTGCAGCACTTGCTTCGGTATGTCCGAATCTTTTATTAATATTTCTAGTAATAATTTAAATCTTAATGGATACTTTTTATGAGTTATCACTAGAATGTCTAACGTACACGAGTTGTAAGCACGTTTTATGTACGCGGGCAAAAAATATTGCAAATATTGGGCTATAAAATCGTTGTTTATGTCTGTATTATCACAAATATGCTTGCATAACTTGTCAATAGCATTTATGGACAGTTTTACAGCTAGCGTAGGTAATAATTTATGGTTGTTTTTGCATTCTTCAATAATTGTATCGACTTTACTTGAAAATTCGGTCTCGAGACAGTCGACTATTTCTTCAACATTTTGATCATTACTTTCACTTATTTCTACATTATTAGGTACACAAATACATGCTTTATCTTCTTTAGTATCATTTTCTGGAGGAATCTCAACAGGTTGTGAATTTTCAGGCGGTGTTTGGCCGATCTGAATATCGTCAAGGAGTTTTCGTGTTAGGTGACCGAATTCTTTCGACCATTTGTTGTCTTCATGTTTGTGTGAAGCTGCCATACAAATTAGTAATAGATCTTGTGAAGATGCCGAAAAATTCCATATTTCAGACATTTTATAAATGTTTTGTTGAAAAACAATATTTATAGTTGTTTGTGTTTTGGCAATGCCAATGCCAAATTGGCATTTCGTGTTTGAGTTCTGTCAAAAACATGTGGTTCTCAGCTTGTCAGAGTGACAACTATAGATTAAAAAAGTTTATGGTGTTGCCAAGTAATATTTTTATGGAAATTCGATTATGATTGTATATCTCAATGAATTTGAGAATTGAAAACTTAATTTGATTTCGTTATCAATTTATAGATACGGATAATAATGCGTAATTTTTCTAATTAATATCGAGGATTTGTATCTCTTTTGCTTCGCTTACTAGGGGTTGGTAAAATAAGAAATTCACAGATTATTATTATTATATGTTTATTCCAACGTCTATTACATTTATAATGCTTTAATTATATTAATAAGTCAACATTAACAATTTTATCCACACATAAATTACAATCGTTAACAAATTAATAAAATATTTTTATAAAAAATTGAAATTAATACCCTATGCATCAGTTTTTAAGGCATATTCAACAAGACCGTGTCTCTATCGGATATGGAACCTTAGCACGGATGACAGAAATAACTACAGCCGAACTATTGTGCAGTGATGCCGTCGGACATCAAGTGATGTCAAAAATATATCGAAATATAGCCATAAATGCCTCTAAAACTAATATTTAGGGTAGGCCTAAGTGTTTTGCGGCAACCGCCACGCCTATTTCCGGGTAAAGACAATAAAGAAGTGATCATACTTCACTTACCCTCCCAAAAAGTTGATCCCAATTAAAAATATTTTGCCCGGTAAAGTACGAACATTTCTGAACCCCAAAAAAACCGGGGACATGTCTTTACCACAAAAAAAGAAATAGTCGACCCAAAAAGGTTAACGTCGAGGTTGACACAAAACACAAATTCATTTGAAAAATCTAACTAAAACTAAATTATTGTAAATAAAATATTAAAATCTAAGATAATGGGATATGAGTGATTGGTTTGTTTGATGGACATGTGAATGAAGTCGACATTCGTTAAATCAAAATGAGTTTTATGATGGTCAACGCCCCTATTCCTGGGTTCTAGAGTCAACGTATCCCAAGACAATAGGCGGCAGGATACGTCAACTTTAGACCTCAAACAGAAATAGGGACTTTAAAAATGCGTTTTATCGTCATCATAAAACACAATTTGAATTAACAATTGCTACACTATAACCTTACTTATAACTAACCAGTGATATGCAACATTAGCTACACAGCTTATAATTTATTAGATACAATACGTTATATGCCTTTAGCATATAAAGCTTCAAGCTTTATAAAAGTGACACAGACATTGCAATATAAAATTTGTGTCGTCAGTAATTTTAGACAGCACCTGATAAAATTTCAAAGTATCCAACTGTCTCATCACATTATTTTCGTCATAATCCGAACCAAATTAGCTTGGTTTACGTTCTCCTACTCTGCTATCGGAAAATAATATGAATCAAAAATTAAATAATTTGAAACTTCAACAGGTGCTGCCGAAAATTCGCTAACCACACAAATTCCTAATCGCTACAAGTCCAAATTGGAATAATCAGGTACAATAAAATAAAAATCAGGTTGCCTACTAGGCAAATACAACAGAGTCGGTCGAAAATTGATATTTTGTCACCTTATCCACAATTTCTGCTATAACCTGACGTTTTCGGCATGGTTAAGTTACGTGCTAGTGTGACAAGGTCTCATAAAATTCACGTCCATGTAATGAAGAAGTTATTATGGTAACGCCAAGGTTAATCATCAATGAGACAATACTACTATTCAGTAAGCAACTAAGATGGTCAACGCTATACATTTGCAGTTTTATTTCGAGATATAGTTGGATTTCAGAACATCAGACGAGCGCAGCCCGAAATCAAACTTTAAACATAAGCGTAGGAGTTGGTTGTGTGTACTGTTTAGTTACATTGCCTATTGAGCGCTGTGGCACACGTTACATTGGTACATTCATTTACGAGGAGTTCCCAATCCATTACGGTTTGAGTCCAATTGCTTTGTCACAAGATTCATAACTTCACTACACCAAAAAAGTTACAGAGAAATCAAAATCGTACCCTTTTTCAACCGTCAGCTGTTGAGTTTACCTAGGGGTGTATCGGGTTGGGTACGACGCTACTGGTTACCTGGTGTTAAGTGACAACAGGAGTGTTTTACCCAACTAGAGGGCTAAGGTGTTATACCCTAAGTGCCAGTAAATCCGTCGGCTCTCTAGTCATTCACGCCGAAACACGACATTACATCGTTTTTCCGGCAGAAATAGAGAAGAGGGTGGTACCTACCCGTTCGAGTTTTGGGCACTAAAACTCTACCACCAGTAAAAAATAAAATAAAATCTATATAAATAAATTTTACACATTAATTACACAATTCAGACATAATAATAATATAATACTGGCCACCATCTCTCCAGATTTAAAATCTGGTCTTCTCGTGTACTTTAGTCTTAGACTTTTTTACTCTCAGTAACTCAGTATACATCACATCACTTACTCAGGTAGCTTAAAATTACACCAATACTTAACCTAGTGTCGTACTATAATAATATAACTTTTGTGGACCCAGTGAATGACACCGATATTATAATTAAAACAGTGATAGCAACATTACATAAACATGTATTATAGTTTATTTAATACTCTTTCATCATAACTCTAAAACTAATCCCAGTGTATAGCATAGCAAAACTAATAAAAAAACAGACTACAGCTTCATCATGTTAAATACCAGTCTTTTACTACAGGTAGGTACTTTTGTGCACCCAGTGCATGACACCCATCTTATAACTAAACCAGTGATTGTAACATTACTTAACTAAAGTGATACAGGTCCTGCGCGATCGTTCTGAGTTGGCCGCTCCCACCCTCCCTGCCACCATTTTGTAACGGTCATTGACGGCCAACTCGAAGCGAACGTTTAGTACCTACGTAATTTTGACTCCCATTTACCTAGCATTTAACAATCTACGACTCAAAGACCTTAATCCCAGTGTTATAACCAGTGAATAATGTAGACCACTAGATATGCATACATAGATACATTGCACACAAATAACATCTATTTTCCCAGTATTATCAGTATTATTGGCAACGCTGTACTGCATGAAACTAATCCAGTGATTGAAACCAGTGAATTCCAGTGACTATCATAACAAGTAGAGACAAACAAAAATAAACAGACAGGGTCAGCTAAATACTAGAGCAATAATGTTCCAAAACAACACCGTAACCTAGTGTTACTTTAATCACCACACAACACACTATGTAGAAAATACACAATAATTGCACACACAACTCTGCGATCAGATTTTGAGGAAGATTTTGTGTATTTCGGTCTAGGCTTTCTCTTCCTCAGTATGTACCACAGCAATGACCCCAGTTATTTTATCTAGTGATGACAAGTTTTCCCAGTGTATCCAGTGCATGACACCCATCTTATAACCAAACCAGTGATAGTAACATTACTTATTAGAGTTATAGTAGGTAGGTACTGAGCGTTCGTTTCTAGTTGGCCCCTCCCACCCTCCCCGCCCTACTGCAATTTCATCTGTTTTCTGCCAACTAGAAGCGAACGGATAGTAGTATTCGAGATCGTGCGACCCTATGACATTAATCCCAGTGATATTACCAGTAACAGTGTAGACAACTAGACATGCATAATAAAATACATCACACCTTAACATTAACTTCTATTATCCCAGTATTGGCAAACTCTCTACTATAATATGAAACTAGTCCCAGTGATTGCATCCAGTAAATTCCAGTTATTCGGTCTAGGCTTCCTCTTCCTCAGTTTACATCATAGCAATCAACCCAGTTATTAAAGCCAGTGACAACACGTTTGTAACTTATCCTACTTACTAGACCAGTGATAATATTACTCAATACTCAATCGTTTATTGCATAACTAAGAGTACATTAGTCTCTTTCAACATAACTATGACCCTAAACCCAGTGATAGCATCCAGTGTATAGCACAGCAAACTAAATACTTATAGACTACAACTACTATAATATGTTACGTACCAGTGTCTTACTAACAGGGTAACCTAAAAACTAACGGCCAAAAATAGGGTAGAATTCACGTCAGCAGCTGGTATTTAGTGTTTTGAACATGGTTAAGTTACGAGCTTTTATGACAAAGTGATCTCATTAAATTCATGACCATGTAACGAGGTAGTTATTATGAAATCGCCAAGGTAAAGCATCAATAAGACAATGAAACTATTCGGTGAGCAACTAAGGTGTTAAACGCTATACATTTGCAGTTTAATTTCGAAATAATATAACACAGTTTTATGGATTTCAGAACATAGAACATACGAGGGCATCCCAAAATCAAACTAAACATAAGCGTAGGAGTTGGTTGTGTGTACTGTTTAGTTACATTGCCTATTGAGCGTTGTGGCACACGTTACATTGGTACATTCATTCACGAGGAGTCTCTAATCCAACACGGTTTGAGTCTAATTGCTTTGTCACAAGATTCGTAACTTCACCACACCAAAAAAGTTACAGAGAAATCAAATTCGTACCCTTTTTCAACCGTCAGCTGTTGAGTTTACCTAGGGGTGTATCGGGTTGGGTACGACGCTACTGGTTACCTGGTGTTAAGTGACAACAGTAGTGTTTTACCCAACTAGAGGGCTAAGGTGTTTTACCCTAAGTGCCAGTAAATCCGTCGGCTCTCTTGTCCTTCACGCCGAAACACGATATTACATCGTTTTTACGGCAGAAATAGACAAGAGGGTGGTACCTACCCGTTCGAGTTTTGGGCACTAAAACTCTACCACCAGTTGTAAAATAATACCTATACAAATCTATAACAAAAAAATACATAACATAATAATTATTAAGTCCATCATTTAGATATTATTACTCTCGCCTCACAGTTGAGCATTCAGGAAAGAAGGCCATAAAAATAAATTAATAACAAAAAATAAAAAAAGAAAGGAAAGATAGACAGCTTTGTCCTGCGACACGAAGAAGACTGAAAGAAAATGTGTCGTGTCGCATCTGACAATCACACACAAGCAAAAAAAAAGATAGAAATAAGAAGAATAACTCAACTGTGAGGTGAGACGGAGCTCTTAAACTTAAAATAAAACTTACATTCTAAGCCGGCCTCTTTCTTCCGACCTTCACTGGAGAACACCTGACGTTTGTTGATTGTGGTCTTGCCAGAAGTCCCAAGATCTCCCTCCCTTACACTCAGGATCCACATGAGTCCCTGGTTCTGATGATTCGACGATACCCGGAGTATCACACCCGATTGTAATGACGGCTCCTTCTTCACGTCTTCAGTTACACTATGATCTTCATTTCTTCATTATTTCGTCACCAATTGCAATTGAATCAACTTAATTACTTGGGCCACTTCAATGAGGGTGGCTCGTGGTCATCGAGCCAAGGGAACCAGCATCTCTCGCTTCACCTGTGCCATGCAGTTCTCGGAACACGGCCCGTGCAGGAAGGGTTCACTAGCTCGTTCCCGGTCCTAGTTGCTTACCAAGACCAGAAGTTCCTAGGTCACCCCCCTTACACTCAGGATCCACATGAGTCCCTGGTTCTGATGATTCGACTATACCCGGAGTATCACACCCGATTGTAATAACGGCTCCTTCTTCATTCACACAAAGATCCTCGTTTCTTCGATATTTCGTCACTAATTGCAATTGAATCAATTTAATTACTCAGGCCACTTCAATGAGGGTGGCTCGTGGTCATCGAGCCAAGGGAACCAGCATCTCTCGCTTCACCTGTGCCATGCAGTTCTCGGAACACAGCCCGTGCAGGAAGGGTCACTAGCTCGTTCCCGGTCCCAGTTGCTTACCAGGACCAGAAGTTCCTAGAGCACCCCCCTTACACTCAGGATCCACATAAGTCCCTGGTTTCTCCATGGCTCTGACTACTGTCTGTCTGTCTCTGAATTGCAATTGATTCATCTCAAGTGTTTTCTTCGGTTCCATACATCTTTCCACTAGAACCAGCATCTCTCGTCACCTGTGCCATGCAGTTCTCGAAACACGGCCCGTGCAGGGAGATTCTCTAGCCCGTTTCTGGCATAAGTTGCCCGTCGGTCCAGGGGAGGTATTTTATTTCCCTCCGGCCCTCCGTCCGGAGACGGCGAGCCACCGAAGGACGCATTCTCTTAGGGTTACTGGCTCCCCCGAGAATTAACTCAATCACCACATAATCGTGAGTTATTCTGAAAAGAAAAGAAAAAGGAAATTTATATTTTGATTGAATCGAATTGACATCTTAGCAATCTCACTAACATCAGGTACGTTTGCAGACAAACATCTGCTTTATAAAACTTTGAATGAACTGACAAGCATCAAAATTAAAAATAAAGAGGGAAAAACAGACAGGTTACAAGAATACATTTGTGTTATTATAAATGTAATTTCACATCTCGTACATTAGGAGAAAAAAATACAATGCTTATAATTGACAACACATCGAATTATGGTTCTTATATTTTTGTTTTGCTTGACACAACTACATGAGGCGGACCAATGGTTACCTTCTATGTATCTTGTTCATTATTTAAAAATATTATACAAAATGTATTTTGTAATTCATGGAAAATTCTAAATATTTGTAGTACAAAAACCAACGTTAGCTTGACTGGACTATCGCTATGACTCTTATACCAAACACTGAGCACATTCAAATGCAGCGATCAGCAAACATTGCTTCCCTAATGTTCTATGTTATCAAATAGCAATTAGTTAATCGTAATCAATATTTGATTTTAATGACACTTAGTAAATGTGAAATTTGTTGTCTCGAGCCGGATCTTAGTTAATTATTACAGTAATTAAATTTAGATAACGACTTAACTAACTCGCATTTAGTTATTAGAAATTAGAATGTAATTTACTTATTTCAACAATAAATAAACAAAACCACAGAACACGGATCTATGGTCTTCATTAAAATAGTTTGCATTTTGTATTAAACAAAGACTTGAGAGAGAGCTCTTTGCGATTCTGTCGCCATTTTGAAATTCAAAAGTTACTGGTAATAACGCAAGTATACAATTTAGATTGTTGAAGATTAATAATACTGATTTTTACCATAATTTTTACACAAACAGATTATTTTTAATGCTTTTACGTTAGAACAATATAATTTTGGTACTAATTTTGTTAAATTTTAAGAAAGCCCAAAGAGAAAATAAAAAGAAACTAAAGTATGTAGGTTTAAACCTAACATTAATCAGAAAGGCAAATAATAGTCACAAAATGTTTGGAATGATAGTGTTATAAATGTATTACTTGAAAGATAAAATTATTGTTTATGATTTTAAACACTGGAGACTTCCGGTTTGAATTATAAAAGTATCTCAGTTGACTCGACTCTTGACTAATAAAAATAAAGTTGAAATCTAGGTGACCAACGAAAGTAAAGTTGTAAGGACTAAATATTTTTCTATTTATAATATCCAAGTCCGAAAATGTTTATTGAACACGCATTTGAAATAATTTTAAAACGAAATAATTTACATAGAAAAAAAGAAAGTACTCACCGAAATGATGACTGCGAAATGGAGGGCCTTTATTCTGCTCTTCATGTTGCACTATCCTGAAGACAAATTGACTGCCCATCTTAGGTGTTGTTGCTCCAAGGGCAAGGGCGCGACTGACCTCTGTCCGAAAATCCTTTCGTATTTATACCATTTTCCTGCACAGGGCAGGTAGCCATTTTTTCGACTCGCAAAACGTGAGGTGCGCGGGGCGGGGGACTTTCCAGTCCCTTTATTACTTGTCCATTTTGTTTTAAATCTGGTTATCGTTTGCAACATCCTTTTTGGTAAAATTCCATTTCTAAAGTAAACCGTGAACAATAGACATGAAATAACAATTAAAAATAAATTGCTTTTCGAAGCCCTAAGTTTGACTTATTACTTATGTTGCAGGGTAACTAGTGAATTGGACTGTACATTGGACATGTTTTCAAATGGCTAATTTTAGTAATAGTATTTTTTATTCGTAATTTAAGTAAGTAATTTTTATATGAATTAATCATCATACAACACGCATCGAGGTTGGATGGATCAGTATAATAATTAGCAATTTAACAATGAAGTTATTCAATCATTTTAGTTTTTAGTTTAGAATGAAAGAACTTTAAAAATTTTAAATATTGCCTTGTGTAACGTTACGGATGACAGAACTTCAAGGTAAACTCCGTGGTCTTTCAAGTAGTTGTTGTAATAGAAGTTATTTTACCACAGAAATGTATAGTTTAATGTGCTTTCGGCTTGTACAGTGTGTGCATTCAGTCAAGATTAGTATACCTACTGAAGTTTTTTTTTATCTACAACGAGGAAGCTCTTGGCTTCTATCTCACCTGATGGTAAGTGATGATCAGGCCGAAGGTGGAAGCGAGCTTCACCCGGAATCCTCAACTACAGAGGAACTGGCTATCTTACCTCTAACTGTCGGAACACAACAATGCAGTTAACATTGTTGTTATGGCGACAGACTTAGGTAAGATGGTGGTAGCTAGCCAGGCGGACTTAGAACAAGCCCTACCACCAACCAAACAGAACAGAAAAATCTGCCCCCACTGGGAATCGAACCCGGGACCTCTGCGTCTGAAGCAGGTGGTCTTACCACTAGACCACAGAGGCGGTTTCACGTTCACAGGCTTAAATTTTGAACTTTTTAATCAAATCAAATCAAATATTTATATGTATAGGTAAATGTGGTATGTTCAGAACGTTCATGTTTTGCTTCAACAAAGCATTTATTTGTCTATTAATATTCTTACTAGCCACTTCCAAAAACGCCCAAACCAAGACTTGTGTGACAACGTGCAACGATAATGCTGGACATTAACATTTGTTTGCCAGGCAGAATGTTCGAGTAAGACGGTTTTTATTTAATCTCTTTGTAACTGGAATAGATTTTACTGTGCCTAAAATTGTTTTTGCATGCCCAAAAAATTTGCAATATGCATTTAAAATAGAATTCATCCCAGAGCATTTGTGCGTAAAAGTATTTGTGTAAAAGTTACTCACAAAAAATTGGTAGGACTTTCAAAACTTCCTTGCCTGGCGACAAACCTCGTGGTATTTTTAAAGTACATAATGTAACAATCAAGGGATTTACCTAGCCCTTTCTTGTTACTTGCATGCATGTTTGAAAGTGTTAAATAAACTAGGTGACGATTAATTAATATTCTTGGACATTCAAATTTTACACTGCGCTTCTAGTCCCAAATATTTTAGATATTTTGTCTAGATATTTTGATATAACCCGAAAGTATGCTAGACTTGCCAATGTGTAAGTATAAAATGTATATCTACACTACAGTCATTGATGTAGCTATAAATTGTGAACTTAATAGAATCTAAAAGTTCCAAAATATATTCTGTACCTATCATCATCATCATCATCATTTCAGCCATCTGTACCTATGTGGGATAATAAATTCTAACTGTGTAATAATTATCATTCTTTCGTGTTTGTAATCATTTTGTATTTTCATTTTTTTTTTCAAAAACTAAAATTCCTAACCGTGTCGTGATCGTGATAATGGCGCATGAAAAAACGTGAAAATTAATAATAAGTAAATGAATAGAAAATGTAAAAGTTTGTATTTCGGGCTATTCATAATGAAAATAGTATCTAGGTTTCAGGTCTTCAAATTTTCTTTTGGTAGAAATTAATAATTAATGCTAATTAATGACAAAGCTGCAGGACTTTGAAATATTTAACATCGATTACATATTGACAATCACGTGCGTAAGCACTGACAAGATAATAGCTGTGGTAATTAAATAGTAATTTTAACGAGGCATTTAACTAATATAATTAGGGATTGGTTTGTTCTGTTAATTGCCCTTTTTGGGGCTATTTGCGTAGAGCTTGACTCACACATTATGCTTTGCAACTGACTATACGATTACACTTTCGCATCTTTCGCAACCTTGTGGTTCGAATAGGTAAGTACATGTAGGTGGCTCATATAAGTATTACCTACGTTAACAAGTATTTTAGACTTATACAGGGTGTTAGGTAAATGGGTATATGAGCCGACACTAGCCCATGTTAACATAGGCATATAAATAGTATGGTGAAGTCAGAAAATTGATATCTTACTATTAATTATTTTAATTTTCATACAAATCTGATTTTGTAAAATTTATTTTGTATGAAAATTAAAAAAGTTAAAATGATGATATCAAATTTCTGACTTCACCGTACCATTTATATGCCCATGTTAACATGGGCTAGTGTCGGCTCATATAGGTACCCATTTACCTAACACCCCTGTATATAATTATTTGTTAAAATAATTATTTCAACGTGCAAATGAAATATTTACTACTACTACCTACCCAAAATTTTGAATCATCGCGTGGTATTTTCGACAAGACATAGTAATTTATCTGGAACAAAAAGATTTGCAACTATTTTTTGTTAGACAACGATAGAACCTTTCTTAATCTCTCACAGAATATAACAATAATGAAGCCTTTGTTTAACAAATACAAAAGTTAGGCACATGAAATTTGTTATCAGTCCTTTGTGCTTAAACAAACTTCCTTTATGATCCGTAGGTACAGAATGATGTTGGAAACAAGAAAAATACCATGATGATGAGCAGGTAAAAGAGCTTACCTGCCTGGAACTAGTGGTCTGGCAAAGTTAGTTATTCAGTATACTCTCGTCTACGTACAAGTACGCGTCTCGTGGTAGTTAAAATATCTGTGTTAGAATTTGTTTTTAGTTAAAATGGCAGCGCCCGCGATGAGACGTGGTTTCATTGACAACTTCGCCTCACCAGAAGATTGGTACATGGAGGTTGACGAAGACCTGTTCGATATAAGTTACCTTCGTAGCACCGCTGTATGGAACCGGCAGCCACCAAGGAGACCACGCCAAGGTATACCCGAATATGGGCCCGAGACCTACAACCGGGCTAATGAATATCTGTGCGAACCTTACAAAAAGGATCCCAAATTCATCCTAACGACGTTGACAACCATTCGCTCCTTTGGCGATGCCAGAGCTTTGGGCTATCACATACCACACAAGACGGCCGAAATTATATGCCAGCTGGTATTTACTGCGGTGGCGGTGACAGATGACTGGATAAGTCTGTTTTACAACGCGTTCTTCCCTGCATATCTCGAAAGAGAACACTCTTGGGCTTCAGTTCATTTGTTGAAGAGAGCATTTTCGGCTCGTCCGGAGCCTTTTCGCAAGACTTTTGCTAAACACCTCATAACATCTGTAAGAATACCCAAAAACGTGCTTCAGGATTTCGTAATTAATTTGACGCTAGATAAAAGGGATTATCTCATGAGATCGATTCCACGCGTGGACCTGACGGCGGAGGCATTCGTCCACAACTTGCCAACTATCAATGCGTTGTTTGTGGAGAGTGTCAAAGTCGACTCAACCTGCGACTGCGTGGCCTCTCTGCTTCAAACATATGGAAGCCACTGTTACTCCAATAGAGACTACGGCCGTCTGTTGCTTACGCTGTTAACGACGAACGGACTCTCCGGGTTTAATCAAAGAACCCTGAAGGAACTAATAGAGAGTCACTGTTCCGAGTTCAGAGGGCCTTGCATGGCTGCAATGGACGAAATAATTGGCCGGTTTGTCGAGATTGAGTACCAGCGCACGATGACGGACAGCTTTGATATAAGTGATCAAGCTAAAGATATCAATAGGGCCGTCTAATTTTAGTAAGTTATTTTATTTTAGTTATGATAAGTAATTTGTGAGGTAGAAACAATGTTTTACTTTGTAATCACATACCTACTAGTGTGACTGTGCAAGTCTTATGGCGCGTTCTAAAAGAAGTGCCGCAAATAAAGGTATACATAATTAATATTTAAAGTTAAAATATGAAATAATAGCGAAAACTTTAATTTCATTGAAAAAATACCAACCAATCAATTTTTAATTTGTGTACATAATTGTTATAATTTTCTCTATTTCTATATTTTCCTTGTTTTAACATGTTATAGGTTAAATTCTATCTCTTTATACTAGGTAAGTAGTTATTCTGATTAGTTATGTAACTGTGTGATTTATTTTGTACTCAGTCTTGTTATTGTAAGGATTTTATACCAACTTGTTATGTACCGTTTACGGGTGTTAATTAAATTAAGTATTCAAATATTTTGTACGGTATCTATTGGTTTCAAGAAAGTTTTAAATGTCTAGATCTAGATATAGTATTTTAGTTGTAAGAATTTTTGAAATGTAGTTTAAATTTAAAATAAAGAAATGTCAAAGAAAAAACTTATATCTATGAATGTAATAAATTATGTTAAAAATGAAGTGTATTTCTTTCATTACGTTCTTGTACCCCCTCTAGGTCTAACATGGTATAGCCTGACCAGGAACATAAAAACCCTGGCATAGAGGCGCTTCAATTGCATTTGATAGTGCAACACTGAGTACAGTCGTACCTGTGTTAAATTAATAGGCTAACTTTATGTTTCAGGATTAAGGATTACGGGCTAATTTGATATTTTCATAAATTAACGAAAAAATATTATTATAGGTAACCTGGTTTAAATAAATTAAATGAAACCATCAATCGAACTAGTAGGATTTATTTTATTATTCATCAATAATCAAATTCAGAACTTGAATATTCAACTGCAATGTCTGCTATATGCATATG